ATATTAAACCAATGGCCACCATTCTAACATTGAACTACTAAAGGCAGTCTCATGGAAATTAATGGCAAAGACTGTCAATTTTCTCTGCTATTATTTAATACTTGTGGTAGACATTGTAATATGATGTAGATTTCCTTAGGGAATAAAAAACTTACTACCTTAGTTGCTGGGAGAGTTGCCAGTGCACAGTCCTCAGCTGTCAGTTGACTCCAGGGATCACCTGAGTTGAAGAGATTTGCCTTGCCGCAAAAGAGAGCCATCTTTCATGATGATATCCAGTATCCAATTACTTTGAATAAATAAAATTACTATTTTTCTTAATTCTTTTAAAAGACAATTAGCTTTAAAGTAATAACATTAATATATCATGGGGTTTATAACATATGTAGGTATAAAATTTATGATATAATAGCACGAAGTACAGGAGTCTGTGAAGTGAAATTATACTCTAAAGTTTTTACATTAGATGTGATGGGGTAAAAGTTAAAGGAGAAAATTATGTTAAGGAAGTATACAACATTGCCCTCAGCAACTGCTAAAATGCAGCACAAAAAGGTAGAGCTAAAAGGGCTATAGAAGAGAAAGAATGGGGTACTCCAAAACTACCAGGCTAAATAAAAAAGGAAGGTAAAAGAGGAGAAAAAATAATGTTAATAGGCCATCTTATCAATAATTATATTTTAACTGAAAGTCAGAAACTGTCAGACTAGATAAAAAGATAAGACCACTTTAATTATAACATCAGACAGACTGAAGTAAAATGACGGATAAAAATATACTATGTAAATGGTAAGCTTAGAAAGCTAATGTGTATATAATAATACAAGACAAACTAGACTTTATAAGACAAGAGGTTACCAGTGCATTATTAAGCTGAAAGGGTTAATTCGTGAAAAAGATAGAATAATTTTATACGTACATACCTAGTAATAGAGTTCCAAAATCCATGAAGCATAAATTGACAAAAATAAAGGAAGAAATATGTAAATTCACAGTCAGTCATAGAGATTTTCAATACTCTTTTCCCATAAATGATATAACAAGTAGGCAAAAGTCAATAAAGATATGGAAGACGTGAAAAGCCTTCTCTAACAACCTGACCTAACTGACATTTATGGGGCACCAAACCCAACAATGCACATGGGAGATTTACCAAAATAGATCCTATTCTTGGCCATGCAACAAGTCTCATTAGATTTCAAATAATTGAAATATTACAGAATATGTTCTAGGAATACAACAGAATATGCTTTATAAATTCAACAGAATTAAATGAGAAGTCAGTAAAAATAAGAACTAATATTACAAAAATTCTTCCAGATAATAGAGGAGGAAGGGACACTGCCTTATTTGTTTTCTGAGGCCAGTAAAACCTTGACATGTAAACTTGACATGCAACATTGAAAGAAAGGAATTTCCTCAATCTGATGACAGATGATATTATACTTAATCATGAAATACTGAGTGCTTTCCCCTTAAAATGAGGATCAAGGAAAGGATGCCTACTCTTGCCACTACTATTCAACATTACTTTGGATCCCTAGCAAGACCACTAAGGGTAGAAATAGAAATTAAAGGTATACAGATCAGAAAAGAAGGAATAAAACTTTTTATTCACAGATGATGCTTTGAACATAGAAAATCTTAAGAGATATTTAGAATCTAAAAGGGACGTATATTTCTACTACCACTAACTAAATTTAGCGAGGATACAGGACATAAAATCAAGATAAAAATCATTTTATATTTTTATATATCAATAATGAACAATTGTAAAATGTAACTTATAAAATTTGTGTTTTACTATAAAATTTTAAAATTCAAAATATTTGCAGATAAATCTAAGAAATATGCCCAAGACTGCTATAATGTAAACTATGAAACACCATCAAAAAGTGAAAGTCTAAACATATTAAGATGTCAATTCTTTTCAAATTGACTAATAAATGGATTCAATATAATCCCAGTCAAAATTCCAGCAAGGTTTTTTTCTTTGTTGTTGTTAAAACGACAATCTAATTTTAAATACATATGGAAATTAAAAGGACTTAAAATAGTTAAACTTTATGAAGAAAAATATAGTTGGAAGACACACAGTAGCTGATTTTAAGACTTACTATGAAGCTACAGTAATTAGACAGTGTGATATTGCTTTAAGGATGGACAAAGAGATAATGGAACAAAACAGAAAATCCAGAAATAGATCCACATACACATTTTATCTTCAAACAAAGTGATAATGCAAATAATAAGGCAAAGCTTTTATAAAAATAAGTGATGTTTGGAAAATTAGACACCCCATTAGGTGAAATGACTCCTAACTTCTACCTAACATCATTTTGAGATCGATCATAGTTCTAGATCTAAAGCTAAAACAATAAAGCTTTTAGGAGAAGACCTAAGAGACTATTATTACTACCTTGTGATAGGCAGAAATTCCTTAGAGAGAACATCTAAAGCACAAATAATTCAAAAGGTGATAAATCACATTTCATCAAAATTTTAAATTTTGGCTCTTCAAAGGCACTACTAAGAAAATTTAAGGAAAGTAAGGTATTGGGAGGAAATATTTGCATAACATATATCTGACAAATGACTTGCATGCAGAATATGTAAGAATTCCTAAAAATTAATAATAACAAATTCAATTTCAACACATGGGCTAAAGTTTTAAATGCAAACTTCACAAAAGACACAAAAATGGCCAAAGAGCACATGAACAGATGTTTAACATTATCAGCCATCAAGGAAATGCAAATTAAAACAAAAAATAAATAACTCATATGTGTTAGAATGACTAAATTAAAATGACTGACAACCTTGAATATTAGCAAGGATAAACAGCAAGCTGGAACTCACATACATTGCTGGTGGAAGTTTAAAGTGGAACAACGCACTTTAAACAATATTTAGGATGTTTCTTATAAAGTAAAATATACTTTACAGATGTACTGCTCATGGTTTAGCAATCATGTGCTTAAGTATTTACCCAAGAGAAATGAAAACCTGTAAAAATGATCAGAAGAGGATTTCTCATAACAGCCTCAAACTGAAAACAACCCAATTATCTATCAGAAGGTGAACGGATAAACAAACTATGATACTACTCAGCAAAGTAAACTATTGATACACATAACTAAATGGATGACTCTTCAAAAAATAATGCTGATCAAAAGAAGCAGGACAGAAGAGTACATTCTGTGTGGTTTCATTTATATAAAGTGCTAGAGCAGGCAAAACTAATCCATGGAGCTAGAACTCAAAACAAGGTTTTCCACGGGTTAGAGATATTGACTGGAAAGGGACATGAGGAAAGTTGCTGGATAAATAAAACTATATCTCGACAAGCATGGTAGACCCACTGATTGTACACTGGCCAAAGATCATTGAACTGCGTTCCTAAAATGCATATATTTTAATGTCTATTAATTTAACCTCAGTAAGAAAATAAAAATTGTAACACAAACTACACAGTATTATTCTAGTTTTATTTTAACAAAGTCACTTAATAAATAAGGCAATCATATAAGTGTCAGGTATTTAACAAATTCTGGCTAGGAATTTGTTTTCCTCCTCCCTTTTCTCCCTTTCTTCCTTTTCTGTAGTCATAGGAGGAGCTACTAAAACTGTAAAGGTGATATTGCTTTTCATTTATTTTATGGTACCTATAGAATTAGGCTGTTTCTAGCTGGGTATGGTGGCTCACTCCTGTAATGTCAGCACTTTGGGAAGTCGAAGTGGGTGAATCATTTGAGGTCAGGAGTTCGAGACAGGCCTGGCCAACATAACGAAACCCCGTCTTTACTAATAATACAAAAATTAGCCAGCCATGGTGATGCATGCCTGTAATCCCAGCTACTTGGGAGGCTGAGACAGGAGAATCGCTTGAACCTTGGAGGCAGAGGTTGCAGTGAATGAGATTGCCCCACTGCTCTCCAGCCTGGGTCACAGAGTGAAACTGTGTCTCAAAGTAAAAAACAATAAAGAAAGAATTAGGCTGTTCACTTCTTTGTAAAATGTGAAAAAAATTGTATTTACCTAGTAGGGCATCTGTGAATGTTAAATAAATTAATAAATGTAAAGCACATAGTTCCTGACACATATTTAGGACTCAATAAATTTTTATCTATATTATTATTGCCATTATTATTATTACATTCTCAGCACTCAAACTCTATGACAATGTAGATACTGCATCAAAATGAGTACATGCACACATATATTTATATCCATATTTATACACACATAACACACATAAAGATTTTAGTTAATATCTTTTGATATAGTTTTAATTTTCCTTTCATGTAGTAGTTTCTTATATTTTTAACAAAGGAAGAGGCTTCACTGCTTCACCTATTCAGTTTTATTCCATTCAACTAATACTTGTTGGGTTGACTGTTATGTGTTGGATGCTTTTGTGTTTGTTGACCATAAAGTGTCAAACAGTGTTAATACTCCCCGCTCTTATGGGGTTTCTAGTCTACCAGAGAACACAGACATTAAACTAGAGCTAACAATTTAGATTAATGTTATGTTTGGGAAAATATTTGTTACTACAGGAAAGTGCAACTGTCATCTATTAACTTAGTTTCTAGGCAATAATAAAGTTAATTATTTAATAATTCATTTTGATAATGGTTTCTCAGAGTATATAGCCTAACCACGTAAACTTTTGCACTTCTTGCCTTAGTTATTTAAAAAATAGAACCATTTGATCGTTGGACTTTTTGTGATAATCAGATACCTAGTAGCTTGGAATAAAAGAATGAAGATTTTGAATCCAGTTAGTCACAAAATCCAAATGTACGGAGTTAATGAAGAAAACACAGGCGCAAATTTGTCATCATTTAAAAACGCACTGGAGTTATCAGTGCACTTAGTGAATGAATATATGAATCTAATGAGCAGAATAGAAGTTTAATTCGGAATGTAAAATACTGAAATATATTTAATTTTAGATTGATCAAAGATTGACTTCATAATCTTTGTCATCATATTTTATCTCTTTTATAAGGATTTTGCTCTTTGAAAGCAGAAAATAATAAGGAGAAGTGAAACTGTATTTTAAAGTTTACAAACTACATCAGCTATTCTGAGTGAAAGGAAGTAATAAATGTCAAAAATAATGTTACAAAATTTTATACATTTCAGTTTTATTTGACATTTTAAGCAGCTGTACTGCCAAATATTACAGAAATAAACAAGCCTTAGATATCATAATGTATATTGCATTCTTCAAAGGAAGTATAATCTTCTTTAGAGCATAGACTTTCCTATTGATCTATTTATTTTAATGACTCTATAAATATCTTTGGAAGGAATGAAGTGTTTTTTGTTTACAATTGATTGAATAGCTAATGAAGAAGTTTTTCCTAACATATTTTTTAATATATCCATGCATATATTCATCTATTTAGCCAGGCAGCCAGCTATGAGTTTTGAGTTTGTCCAAGACTGATAGTCATTCTTTCAAAAGCCTTTTTTGAGTATCTTCTATGTGCAATGCTAGGTTAGATGTGACAAAAAAGATGAAGATAAAAAGCTGGTTCCTGGCTTCAAGTGACTCATGATTATTATCTACAGGAATTTTCTCTACATATCATAAATTGTGTTAGTCATTTGTTTGTTTCAAGACATTACATTTTTATGACTGAAACATCCTAGTCCATGTAATTTGGAAGTACTATAGAATATAAAATGGGCCAAATTTTTAAAAGACAATTTTAAATCTTTACATTGAAATTCTTTTCCAGTTGAAATTTCAGATTTAAATATCAGTGCTGCAATTCATCTAAAATTTCTATATTGAAGTCTTTTTCTCATTCTCACTCTCCTTGCTACATCTTCAAGTATATAAAGTAGGTACAACTTTCTCTTATTAAATCATAAACTAACTAACAACTCTTTTTCTTCTCCACACTATAGACTTTGTACTTACACTGTATATATGTATGTGCGTAACATGTGTGCATATGTATTATGTATACACACACATGTAATAGTATACACTTTAACATCAAACATGAGACTGCCTCTGTTTGCAGGGCAAAGTGTGATACACAAAAATGAGTAAAAGCAAATGAGAGAGAGAAAATTAGATTTTCTGAGGATCTAAAATAGCTGGCAAATACTGCTTAGAAAGTCAATTTACCAAAGGTGGCTTTAACTTTTTACTCGTTGACTCCAACTTTTTACACAATGCCTCTTAGCAAATAAGGGCACAAGAGCGTTGTAACCAATCATTGAAGCACTCAAGCAGTAACAGGAAGAGATAAATGGCAGCTCAAAAGGAAGAAAGAAGAAAGAAAAAAAGAATATTAAAATTCAGACATCAAAATTCTGAAAGTGTAGGCATCTGGGAACAGTGAAAAACTCCAAAACTTTATAAGTACTCAGGACTTTCTTATTTTATAATATGATACAATGATTCATATTCATAATAATCATGTCAACAAAATGTTTTTCTATTTGACATGATTTTGAAGAAGTGGGTGCAGTGTAATTCAGTTTATTAATTTTCCTCCAAAATCATTTAATAATTTGGTCATTAAATAGGGAGATTTCCATCAATCTAGATACCTTTCTGTGAAATGCTTTATTCTCTAATAACTTTAGGTATGTAAGGCAGGCACTCACTTTTCCTGGAGTCTAACCCTATGCATTTATTTCTTTCTGGATCTTCTCTGTTTAACTTGCTTTCTCTTGGTAATGAAATTTCCTTAAATGCAGTGTGGTTAAATATGAACATAGAGAAAGATTTGTCTTTACTATGCAGTGGGGTATCACATTAACGTTGCCATACTTTGTCATCTTTAGTGATAACGTTCTTAGAAATTCTTACCACAAATGTATTTTCAAAGCTACTCCACAGTTAAGAATATGAGTGCATCATAAAATTGACTCCTTTCAGTGCACAATTCCATTTACTCACTTAAGATTGTTTTTGTTGATGCATACAGCTTCCCAGAACGACCCTTTATAACATTTCTTGGCTGTTGAGATCATTCCTTTTGGAATCCTGAAATTTAAAAGCATAAGACTTTATAAGTCTTTAAAAAATTACCAATTTTCATCTATTTTAATTATTGAAGCAATCACCAAGACTAATAGCAATTTGGTTTTCAATCTAGATTTAGAGGCTATTGCTTATGGCTTTTAGTTTTCTTTGTATCTTTCTAATTCTTTTTTGTTTTCTTCTCTGTAATTTACATTAATTCCTTCTTCTTTCATTAACCTCAGTTTTTCTTCTTCACAGAATACAGTCTTAGAGGAACGTCCATCAGGGTTTCCTGGCCTTCTTAAGCTAAGAGATGTCTAAATCCCCAAAGGCTGAAGTCTAAGCTAGCATAAAAGAGTCATATAGGAATGCAGAAAGGGTCTAGATTTTATACCATCCACCAGAGAAAGGAATGGTAATAAAGTCATTTTTTTCTCTAGGCACTAAATTATGAGCCTATCTTTCTGAGTTATTCCTATTCTCTCCTACTGCAGATGGCTTCCACTGTGAATGGAGGAAGAGTGTCTATGACAGCTCCAGTTTCCATCACCTTTATTGTTTGTAATTGCAGAGGAAGAAAGGTACATAGTCTTTCCTGTCTTCTATTTATTAAACCTTCCAAGAAAATGATCGATCAGGTACTTGGGTAGCATGGTTATTCTGAACCAATCACAGTGGTTGGTGAAAAATGTTTATCTGATGGGCCAGCCTAGAGCATGACCCCACCTATGAAAAAGAAAGGCAGAACAATGGGTTTGCACCCTCATCAGAGCCACATGGAAGAACATGTGTTGAACGAGAAAAATCAATGTCCATTATAAGGCATAAGCCAGGACACTATTTGAGTGTAGACCTGGCTTTAAATATTAAAAACAGAAATTCTACTTTTAAAATGTGTGTACTTGTGTCAAATGCCCATTGTCTAGACACGTAACTTTGTACTAAACGTTTTTCTTTTCTAAATGCAACATGATAAATTGTCACCCTGAATGAAGATTGCCTTTTTAAAAAATGTAAGTCTTTTGATAGTGACTAACAATGACAACTAACAACATATAAACAAGACACATGAAAATGAAGACCTCATAAGAGCAGAGTCATGTTAACAGTAGTGAAATCTATTTTAAAATCCATTAGAAAAGCTTCAGTCGGTACCAGTAATGAGTTTTAAAGCACCTGGGTCAGAAACATTAAACAAGCTGCTAGTTCACCCCACAAGATCCATTAATCATTGATGTTGGCTGCAAAACTGTTCTGTTAAAATGGACCGAGCATGCAGTAGAGGAGGTGCTGACCTGTGAAATGTTCAGACACGAGGACCACACAGATATTAACTACCAGTGACAGCTTCGATAAGAAACTAAAGGCTGTTGATACTAGAGGAAGAAAAACTTAGGAAAAATTACTGAATTTTCTGTCCAGATAAATGTTCCTCTACTTAACTGTTTTTGCTTTTTACCAAGGAGAAACAGCCAGGTGCTCCACACAAAACGCCACTACAAACACTCTTCCCAGCACTTTAAAACTGATTTGCTGGTTTCACCAACACGCTTCATCATTTGGTAAACCGCCATGACCCATCACACTGAACACTGAATTCTTGCCACGAAGAGGCATCTGTGGTATGCCTGAAGGCTTCAGCTATCGCTTGTTGAAGCATGTACTGAGTGTCAGATGTGTATGTTCCCGAGCCTCTTTATGACAGTTCACTTATGACTATAATAAAATAATTAACTGTTAATAAAGCAAAGCTGTATTTATCATAAAAGGATTGTTTCTGTAAAAATTAAGTTGGATCTATTGTAAAATCTTGACAAATCTCATTTTCAAAAAAATGCTGTGGAATTAGGTAAGTTTACCACTTACTTAAGGTGGTCATGCTAGCTGTCTTCCTCACCACCTCAGAGACTTTCCACTCCACGTTTTACCTTGTATATCTTCTGATGTTCCCCTCAATTTCACCTTTCTCCTTTTTCTGTTCTCTTCTATTATTCAGGAGGCTCAACTATAAAAATTAATTCATCAATAGACTCCTTTGCTATCTGGCTTTGACTTGTTTTGGCCAATGAAGAACAATGGCAGGAGACTTAAAGGAAGAGATGTCTTGAATGTTTATTGCTCAACTCTCTCCCAGTGGGGTCACATTGGGCTGGCTTTACCCTTGACTAAAATTCTTATTTTCCATCAGCATTCTTTCTTTGGCTTCTAGTAATTGCCCCCTCTCTTCTCTTTTCAATCCTATAAGTGTTAATGGTGCTTAATTTTTACCAGTTCTAGTGCACTACATTATCTCTGTGTTTCTCTATACTTTGTCCATTTTTTTTTTTGTTTCTAGTCACTATCATTTATTTTTTTTGAGACGGCATCTTGCTCTGTTGCCTAGGCTGGTGTGCAGTAGAGCAATCTCGGCTCACTGCAACCTCTGCCTCTCGGGTTCAAGTACTTCTCCTGCCTCAGCCTCCCAAGGAGCTGGGATTACAGGCACCTGCTACCATGCCCAGCTAATTTTTGTATTTTTAGTAGAGATAGGGTTTCACCATGTTGACCAGGCTGGTCTCAAACTCCTGACCTCAGGTGATCCATCTGCCTCAGCCCCTCAAAGTGGTGGGATTACAGGAATGAGTCAATGTGCTCGGCCTGGTCCCTCTTTTAAACTTGCCTTGACTTACTCATTTTGGGTCTATTAGCTGCTCCTACTAGTACCCTGACTCAGTTAGCGAGGGAGTTGAAAGTGTAGCAGCTGTCATGAGACAGCCTGGATACCTATATTGACTCTATCATTTCCTAAATGGAGGATGTACAGCATCTAAGGTAACTGATCAAACTCCAATTTTTATTCATAAAAATATGGATATTAATAAATTTGACTCCACAAGCATACAATCTGTTCCTACTGCTATAGGAAGAATGAATTATTTACAGCTTTTTTTGCTTAGTTCAGCATCTGGCACATACTGAGTGCTTATTAAGTTTTGGTGAGTGAATAAATTCATGTGTGAATGAATGACAGTATTTTCTTATACAGATGCACCTCCTGGCAAATGTGTCAGTCAGTGATCTGATAATTCCTATATAGCATTTAGAAAAAACTTTCCTTAGGTGAGAGCCAGATTTGCTACACATTGAGAACTTTCATTAATGTCTCTTCCCATTGGGCAGGCTCAAACTCTAAAATAAATCATGTAAAATTTAAATGAGCTAAAATAAAATGGTGCATACATGAAATCATGAAGATACACATTACTTTGACTTTACAGCCATGTGGGCTAGAATTTATATCTATATATATCTATAGATACAGATGTATATATTAAAGATTCACTTCCTAGTCAAGATTAATACAAATATTTGTGTATATACATATACACATGAATATGCATGTGTATATATATACACATATATAAAAACATTTATCTCTGATAAATATATCAGAAATTTTATATATGTACATATATAAATAAAAAATATATAATATATACATACAGCTAGTGCTTGACTTACAACCACGATTGGTTCCAACAGACTGGTCATAACATGATTTGGTCGTAAGTTGAGTAGGCTATATGCACGTGGAGGTTGTAGTGCTGCCAGAAGCTGGTCCGCACTGTTGTATGCCCAGCCGGACACGGAGCAGTCGTGGCTAGCGATTGTGGTCGTAAAGTCAAATGGTCGTAAGTTGCCTAGGTCGTAAATCGCATAGGTCGTAAATCGATCAATACTTGTATACCTCTTCTCTGATATGTATATACATCAGAGAAGAATTAGCCAGTGTACCAGCAGAATTGAAAGGGTATAGAGAAAGCACAGAAATTGGAGTTAGTTTTGTTCCATTAGAAGATGGCAAATAGTTAAAAATGAGATGTTACAAGACACTGAAGAAAAGGTCTAATAAAACCTCTCAGTTGAATAAAGTGATTTGTGGCAAAGAATAGATGAAGAATGTAGACTTCTCATCTATGTTTCAGAGAGTCTCAAAGAAACAGCCACTGACTTGGGAAAGGAGGGGTGAAAGTGGGGTGGGGCAGGAGGCACTGAGCACGCAAGCGACACATGGGTTCTGAGAACTCTTCCAATTCAAGAACTTTGTGAGTGGTTGCTGGTACATGGTACAAAAGTTAGGGTCTGAAGCCTACTAAATTTTTTTTTTTTAATGGAGTCTCTCTCTGTCGCCCAGGCTGGAGTACAGTGGCGCAGTCTCAGCTCACTGCAATCTCCGCCTCCCAGGCCCAAGCAATTTTCCTGTCTCAGCCTCTCAAGTAGCTGGGATTACATGGGCCACCATGCCTGGCTAATTTCTGTACTTGTAGTAGAGACCAGGTTTCACCATGTTGGCCAGGGTGGTCTCAGACTCCTGACTTCAGACGATCCACCAGCCTTGGCTTCCCAAAATGCTGGGATTACAAGCGTGAACCAACTTGCCCTGCCTGAAGCCTACTAATTTTTGAAGGGATTACATTGCTAAAGAAACCACAACTCTGGTTTAAAAAATCACTTGATTTGATGAGATCTAAACCAATTCTTAGGTCCCAAACTTTTGAAGAAAGAGAGCTAAGCTTCAAAGGCTCTTACAGCTACAGAAAAAGGTATGGTCTCTAACACCTGCATCAGCTGTGGCCTAGGAGAATAAAGGAAAAGGACGACCTTCCGTGCACACAGAACCAGGAGTGGTAGAGAACGCTGGTCAAAGGCATTCCTCCCAGGCAGCATAGTGATGATGGGGAGACAGCAGTGTACGAGAGCACACATGCACTGATACTGGCAGCCTGAACAACCTTACGTTTTCAAATTGGCTAATGGCACTGCACTGTCAAATTGTCCTGTATAGTGTCTCACTTCAACAGAAATATCTTGCTTTACATAACAAACGCAAGCCTTTTGCATCTCAAAAATGCCAACTTGCTAAAAAATAAATAGGCAATAAGATCACTATGGACATTATAACAATTTTAAATACCTCATGGAAGTGGCTTCTTGGAAAACTGTAATTGCTAGTTTCTCATTTGGGAAATTTCCTGTAATTGTCAAGACACTCAGGGAAGCTGAAATTTCAGTGAATATGAAAATGATCATGACTCAGTAGGACTGATTTTTAGCTGACAGTTATCTCTTCATGGTCTTACCTGTGTTTGGTTTCTGTGTGAATCACTAGATAGAGCCTTGTTTATTGGATTGAGATATTCAGACCAGTGTGCCTGGGAGGTTCAATGTGAAAAAAAGCCTGGCCTGTCTTTCTCTACTATCAGTTTTACTTAAAGGCCAGATGGACACATTATTTTATATTAAAATAAACACACTATAATGTGGAATAGATGGAAACATTTAGATAAATTTTTTAGATGAGATATGAAACTGCAAATACATTTATTTTTGCAGCATTGACATACTTCAGCTTCCCTGGGCTGAATCACTTGGCAAGAACAAGTTTGCATGCCTAAGTTAACTGTGAAACTGGGAGGTGAGAGAGAACAGAAGGAAAAAAGAAGTGTAGGAGGAATTTTACAATTTAACAAGATGGATATTGGTGCCTTATGATATTTATATCCAAGATCCCACTGATCCTAGGCCACTGGGTAGGAGAACAAGGTTGAGGCCTAGGACTTGTAAGGTTGAATGCTCCAAGTAATTGTGATGTATAATGTTACCTGAGCAGGGTGAAGGTAGAGTAATGGCATACTTTGCCCTTTGTCTCTTTTCATTTCTTTACTTTTCTTCCATTCAGCCATTTAGTTCAATTCGAAGTCAACATGTTTCTGAATACTAGTATTCCATTCAAAGACATACCAATGTTTAGATAGATGAATAGGTAGGTAGGTAGGTGGATAAGAAAGAAAAAGAGACACAGAGAAAGAGAGCAATTCCATGAATGGAAGTTAATGGAATCTTTACTCACCCTCGTCTTACCCCTACTCCTGCCACAAAAGACCAAGACTGAGCAAAGGCCAAGTGTAAGTGCAAGACCCAAGACGGAGCAACTTTGGGATAATCACAGGAAATTTTGTCACAGCCAGCAAGGCGCACTGTATTTATCCCTGGAGCTGGTAAAGTAGGAGGATGAGCGTTTGGGATTGCAGGTGATCATCATTCTCATTATGGGATGGGGGACTACAGAGAAGAGCTAAAGACTACAAGAACCTAGAGAAGGCAGAGCTTTTCAGGCTCTGCATCAAGATGCACTCCAAGCTGCAGTCCTGTGTTTCCCAGGTTCCTTTCCTGCTTCTACTAGTCTGAGTTGGGTTTCTGTCTCCTCCCATTAAAAAATTCTGAAGCAGCAGTATTAAGGGAAAGCAACAAACCTAGAAATGGTGGTGCAAAGGGAAAGGGGAGACTTGTGTCTAGAGTAAACATTACCTGGCAAATGACCTATTCCTTGACTGAG